ATGAAGACCTCTGTATTCTACAGAGCTGCCTCCTGGGGACGCCCTAAAACCAAAAATCAAATTCGTTGCCATAGAGTCAATTCTGACTCATGTGGCAGAATAAATATACTCATCCAAGAGAGTCAAGATCCTAAGCCAACAACTCTCATAATTTTCTGGAAAACAAAGAACATTCATCAGTAAAGTCAGTTGCTAGAGAGAACGAGAAAGTGGAAACAAGGAGATTTGAATTTCATTTATCCCAGCTCAGTCACTGAAGAAATATTTATTTTGTGTCTACTATGAGCCAGGTGCCGTGTCAGGTACTGGGGACACATCAGTGAGCAAAACAGGCATGGTCCTTTTCCTCATGGAGCTTACTAAACTCACCTGGCACTCATCTGATCCTCTGCCCATGGCAGACATCACTAATTGATCACAGCACTCTCCCACTGAGCCTTCTGAATCCTCAAACTCATGTTCCTGGCATCCTCTCCTAAATGATTAACCTAGACACAAGGGACAAAAACTCATTTGCCCTTTAATTTTGGGCACTCAATAAATAGTAGCTATTACCTAATCCAGCCTCCTCCTGATATAAGTGAGGAAACTGAGGCTCAAGAGGGAGAAGCAAATTGCTTTAGTCACCCAGTGGTAGATCCTGGCCCCAAATTAAGGTATTTTTTAATTTTTTATTTTTTCTTTTCCCCTTGTATTCCCCACTGTTTCATGATTCAGTCATTGGATAACAGAATTCAGGATATATCAAAGTTCTTCATTATGGGTTTCTGCATTTTTTTGGGGGTACATGTTTGCCTCAAGAACAAGTAAAAAAATTCTTTTTAGCCAGAGAGACAGAGGAATGAGTTGTCCACCGCCACAGCAAGTCTGCTCAGGAAGAAGCCACATTAAGACTTCTGCAGAGCTTTTTCCTGTGATTATATTAAAGGCCTAAAGACTAATGTTAGGTTCAGCCTCAAAACAGTCACAGTTTTACAATTCCTTTAATTGCTGCTCAGCTCCACAAAGCAAATGGCTCTATTTTATTTTAAGAGGTGCTTCTCTTCCTTTCCTTTCTTTCTTTTCTTCTCTCCTTCCCTTCTTCCCACCTTCCTTCCTTCCTTCCCGCTCTCCCTCCTTCTTTCCTTCCTTCCTTCCCTCCCTCCCTCCTTCCTCCCTTCCTTCCAGCCAACCAGAAAATCACTGATACTCTCCTGAAATTGGAAGTGAGTGGGATGGTAGATGGGGCAGAGTCTACAGAGCTCTGAGCTAAAGACCAGAGTAACCCCTCTCAGGTTAACAGAAAGGAGGAAACAACTCTGACTCTCTTTGGGAGGCTGGAAGAGGTCTTTCCAACTGACCTCTCCAATACCTTAACCAACCAAGATTCTCCTGGCTTTGATGGCTTCAGTTAGTTTTCCAAACTTGCTGACTCTGGCCCCGCCACATCCAGTTCTTGACAGTTATCAATCAACATCTCCCAGGTGTCTGCTGCTGGCCCATGTGTTTCCTGTTCAGTAACAGTAGGCAAGGCTGTAGCTGGAGTCTACTTCCTGTTCAGCACTGTTCAAACACCCATTCATTCATTGAGCCAACATATATTTATTGGGCACCTGTAGATTCAAGCCACTAGCATTATGGTTAAGGCAAGTGTCTTAGGCTGAGTTCTCTAGAGAAGCAAAACCAATAAAGCATATAAATATATACATATAGAGAGAGACTTATATCAAGGAAATGGCTCACATGGTTGTAGAGGCTGGAATGTCCCAAGTCAGTGGACCAGGCTGGAGGCTTCTTCTGATTCACACAGCCATAGGGGCTGGTGAATCCAAAATCGGCAGGTCAGACAGCAGGGCTCTTGCTCACAGGCTGCGAAGACCGACGAATCCCAAGACCAGCAGGCAAGACTGCAGGTAAGCTGCTAGCGCAAGTCCCAGGAACCAGAGGTCAGACAAACAGCAGGCAGCTGCAGGATCTGGAGCAAGCAAAAGCCCCCAAGCCTTGCCAGATGTCCACTTATATTTGATGCAGGCCACATACCCAAGGAAACTCCCTTTCAACTGATTGTCTACTCATAGCAGATCCCATCATGGATGTGGTCACATTATATCAAATCTCATCATGGAAGTGATCACATCATCATAGGACTGTCGAACTATATCATAACTGCCAAACCACTGAGAATCATGGCCCAGCCAAGTTGACACACGATGTTAACGATCACAGCAAGGTTTCTAGACTTAGAGCAGGGGGCGAGACCTGGTTCTATGACATCCAAATTGTGTGGCCTCGGGCCAGTTGCCCACTCTCTGTGCCTCAGTTTCCTCATCTGTAAAATCAGAGTGATAACAGTACCTACTTTGTTGGTTTTTACGGGGATTGAACGAGTGTGCATTGTGCTTGGCACACAAGGAACTACTTTATTTTCAGTCCATGACATACCAGTTGTAGGAGACCTTGCCTGTTACCTAGCCAGTATCTGTCGTTGTTGTTGTTAGGTGCCGTCGAGTTGGTTCCAACTCATAGTGACCCTATCTACAAACAGAATGAAACACTGCCAGTTCCTGCACCATCCTCATGATCATTGTTATGCTGGAGCCCACTGTTGCAGCCACTTTTTTCCTTCCCAGCAGAAATCTAAGTTTGTTTAGTTATCCATCTATTCCCATCTCCAGAAGCAATTTTGATTAGTCTAAACCAGTTGTTCTCAAAGTGTGGTCCCTGGACCAGCAGCAACAGCATCACCTGGGAACTTGTTAGAAATGCTGTAATTACAATGTGGCTAACATGGGTGACGTGCCTATGATATACCCACCATTGTACAATGCAATTCACACCCATGACCTCAGTTAACCCTCAGATATATAGGTTCTGTTATTTTCTTCATTACATATATGAGGAAGTGGATGGTCAGAGAGGTCAATGCACTTGCCCAATGTCACACAGCCAGGAGTGGCAGAGTTGAGACTGAATCCAGGTCTGCCTGACTCCAGAGCCTAAGCATTTAACCACTACATAAGTCTGCCTCTGGACAAACTGCTGGCTGATGGGAGAGATGTCCAAGGAAGACCTCAATAAAGCAGTCAGAGAGTGTAGTAGTTTAGAATAAGCACCATTGGAGTGGTGGCTATTCCCTAAGCAGGGCTCTTAACCAAGTAAACCTTGCCGGGATTTATACAGATTGAGTCAGAGTTGACTCAAAGGCATCTGGAACTGGAATTGGAATTTCTCCCATAAGGTCCAAGTTTATAGTTTGGAGGACTATGGCTTCACACTGAAAGAATCAAAGAGCTTGAGCACAATAAGAGCAACATAAAAATAGAAAGAGGACCATCCAAAACTAGGAAGGTAACAAATAAGAAAAACAATAAGAGCTCGCTGCAATTCCAGACCGCATAAATTCCCTTCTTATTTGCAAACCCATTTCATGTCCTGTTTGAGCCTGGGCTCCCCTAGAAGCAAACCCCAAGACAAGGATTCCGGTTCAAATAGTTTATTTAGGTGGTGATCCCGGGAAGCACCAATAGGTTGTTTCCTATTGGGAGGTGAGATGGGGGAGGAAGGCAGACAGTTCAGAGTGTACTCATGAGCAGGTCCCCACTGTGGGCTGGGATTGAGAGATGACCCACGTTAGGGTAAAGAGCTGGGGTCTTTATCTACCAAGGTTTGCCTGGCATTTGTTGAGGTTGCCCCCAGCAGTGCTATGGTGAAAGGGAATGGAAAGCACCAGGGGATATGGGTGGGCACCAACAGCATCTTCTACAGATCATATTCTGAAATATACAAACTTTGGCCCCATTGAAACAAACAAACAGAAAACCTGTTATCATTGAGTCGATTCTGCCTCACGGCAACCCCATGTGTTACAGAGTAGAACTGCCCCATAGGGTTTTCTTGGCTGTAATCTTTACAGAAGCAGATTGCCAGGTCTTTCTCCTGAGGAGCTGCTTGGTGGGTTTGAACTTGCCAACCTTTCGGTTAGCAGCTGAGCACTTAACCATTGTGCCACCAGGGATGTGTTAATTGAAAAGCGTCCACATCGGCTTTAGAGCAATGTCTTCTTACTGCACTTCCACTCAAAAGCGAGTTTCAGAGACAGCCCCTAATTGTTGTTGTGTGCCGTCCAGTCAATTCCAACTCATAGCGACCCAATAGGACATGGTAGAACTGCCATAGGGTTTCCAAGGCTGTAATCTTTTTTTTTTTAATTTTTATTTATTTATTTATTTTTTTGATTGTGCTTTAGGTGAAACTCTACAGAGCAAATTAGTTGCTCATTCAACAATTTATACACACATTGTTTTGTGACATTGGTTGCAACGTGCAATGTGTCAACCCTCTCCCCTCCCACACTCCAATTCCCCATTTCCACCCGTCCATTTTTACTGTCCCTTCCTGCCTTCTTGTCATTGCTTTTAGGCAGGTGTTGCCCTTTTGGTCTCGTATACACGACTGAATTAAGAAGCACGTTCCTCATGTGTTATTATTTGTTTTAGAGACCTATCTAATCTTTGGCTAATCTATAGCGAAAGAGAGGAAGACCCTCAACAAGGTGGATTGACACAGTGGCTGCAACAATGGGCTCAAGCATAACGATTGTGAGGATGGCGCAGGACCGGGCAGTGTTTCATTCTGTTGTACATGGGGTCACTAGGAGTCAGAATTGACTCGACAGCACCTAACAACAACAACAAATCTTTGGCTGAAGGGTGAACTTCGGGAGTGGCTTCAGTTCTGAGTTCAAAGGGTGTCCAGGGGCCATAGTCTCTGAGGTTCTTCCAGTATCTGTCAAGGCTATAATCTTTATGGGAGCAGACTGCCACATCTTTCTCCCACGAAGCACTTGGTGGGTTCAAACTGCCAACATTTCTGCTAGCCGCCAAGCGCTTAACCATTGCGCCGCCAAGGCTCCTTTAGCCCCTAATTAGGTTCCCAATTGCTAAAGCAGCCAAGTTTTGCTGCTTGTCAATATCATCATGGAGTGAACCCAAAGGGCACGAGCTTAGAAGAGGTTGCCTTACTGTTTTCCTGCCGTACTGGTCTGAGATGTTTCCCCAGAGTGTGGAGCTGGACATCATGCCTACAAAGACCACCTGCGGGTGGAAAGACAGCTTCTGTTAGACAGTGGCAGGGAACAGCGCATCAAACCTGTGACGTCACTCCCAGGTAATCATAATAATGAGCCAACATTTACTGAGTCCTTGGTCAGGGCACACACTATTTTAAGTGCTTCACGTTATCATATAAGCCTCAACTGTGTACTACCAGAAATTACCATGATAACTCAGGGCAGGAGGGAAACTTTAACACATAGAGCCTTATGCACTCAGAAAATTAAAACAATAATTTAAAATGTATATACTTTGTCAGTTTAAGGGACATGCACAAGTGGGTTCCAACTTTCCAGCAATTGAGCAGGATGTCTGGGACCCTCCAAGTGGCTGGATGGGATGGGGTGGGTTGCAAGTCTGCCAGGATATGTGGGGCACGAGGTGGGTAAAGGAAGCTGAGGCCATGGGTTTCCATCCAGGGCTTAATTCTTTTCTGCTGAGCCCTTGGCAGCAGGAGAGGGGGACAAGAACTGAACCCAACAGGAGATAGCCTCTGGGCTTCCTACCGAGGTCAGCAAGGCAACCTGCCAGCTGGGCAGCTGCCACTCGCAATGCAGCTGTGGAGCAAGGATGCTCAGAATCATCATCTCCATGGCATCCGCCATCTGCAGGGAGGAAGGAAGCAACGTGAGGCCAGGAAGGCTGAGGAAGGAAGATTGAGCCCCCCAAGGGGAGGGTTGGCCCCTCGTGAAGTTTGTGACCCCAAATAGTGTAGGAGACCCCCCCCTCCACTTCTACTGCCTGCTGAGTGCCCTACCACACATCAAAACATGCTGAAAGGCTCTAGGAATTAAAACAGTGTGGCACCGTGCACGAATTGACAAATAGACTTTTGATGTTCTTATTTTGTGTATGTTCAAAAAATATGTGCACTCCCTAAACAAAGTGGGAAGACATCATATTTCTAAAATCTGAGAAAAACATTTTTATAGTGGTAGAGAGACAAGGATCCTTTCTCTTTAACTCACTTCAAGACTAGCTTGTCTTTGGTTTATAGGTCATTGTTCATGTAGAATAATCAGTGTGTTTAACAAGTGCAACCTTTTAAAACATACTGGAAAGTCCCAGTAATTAAACATTGTGGTACCATTACAGATGTAGACAGATAGATAATGGGACAGAAATGAGAGTCCAGAAGCAGGCATTGGCTTTTCAAATTAGTGGGGGAAATGATGTGGGAAAATTGGTGATCCATTAGGAGAAATATGTGGTTAGAACACTGTCTCATATCACTTGTAAACATATTTCAGTTGTATTATTAAAGGTCTAAATGTTATTGGCCATAGTTATATTGGGGATTTTAGTAAGGGATATCATGAGTCCCTCAAGGCAGAAGACAAATTTTTATCTGTGCCATTTTTCCAGGGAGAGCTCTACAGCTGATATCGGAATCTCATAATACTCCTCAGCCCCAAAGGGTTGGGAACAATTTAATTAGCTAGAAGTGTCGATTCCTCCTTGAGTGCAATGGCCAACCACACCAAACTCCCCCCAAGCACAGAGCCCCATTATTGCCACTGTCACTCAGATAAACTCTGTTGACTGGAATTCAAGCAAAGGTCCAATGTGGAGGGAACTGTGTTCTTCCTTGTAGACTACAGAAACCCAGTTGAACAACATGGGGGTTCCTTGGAGACGGAATGTGAGGTCACTCCCCACCTCCCCCCAGAAATACTTGCCCAAGCCAAGCCGGTGAGGACAGACAGCTTCCATTGGAATTTCCCAAACCCAATGGCTTCCACCGCATCTTCCACCATGAAAGTATCTGAGGAGGAGAGAGGAGAGGGGAAGAATCAGTCAGTGCACCCCAAGTTGGAGTTAGTGTGGAGGTGTCTGGGGTGGTCCCCAACAAAGCTAATTAAAGACAGCAGATGTTACTTCTAGAACTTATCCTAGAAAAGTATTCCAGCAAGTATGAAGTTCACTGCAACACTGTTTACAACAGGGAAACTGGAAAATTCCAAATGTCTATCAACAGGGATTGGCTAAATAAATTATTATATATCCATATTATGAAATATGACCCATCTGTTAAAAAGAAGATGCAGACATGGAAAGATGCACATAATATATTGTTAATTAATTTTTAAAAACAAAAAAAAGTAGACAACAAAATATTGGAGACTTATAGATATACCAGTTGCCAGCAAGTTGATTCCAACTCACGGTGAACCCATGTGTTTCAGAGTAGAACTGCACTCCACAGGGCTTTTGGTGGCTATGATTGTTCAGAAGTAGGCACCAGGCCTTTCTTCCGAGGTGCCTCTGGGTGTATTTGAACGGCCAACTTTAACTGTTTGCGCCACCCAGGGACTCCTGTGTTCATCACCATTATCATCATCACCATCACCACCACAGTCACCACCACCATCACCACCACCACTATCATCATCATCATCACCATCAACACCATCATCACCACCACCATCATCATGATAAACATACTCATTACCATCATCTTTGTCATCATCCTCAGCATTGCTGCTGCCATCCTCAGCCAAGTATTATGCAATGATGCTGACTGGCAGGGATTGTGATGTAACCGTCCCTGCTGAAGTAAGCCACATGGGCCCAGCCTACATGTCCAGTGTCACCCCTGGGCTCTCTGGGCCCTCCCCCTATCCCTTCACCAGACCCTTCTGAGAGTGCCACCTGGGGAGGCAACCCTGGCACCTCAGAGCCCCTGATCACTGCCCAGGCTGATGCCCCAACTGCAGGGCACCCTCACCATCGGTGGGATTGGCAAACTCCTTGGGCACAGCTGCCCCATCATCCAGCTCGACGGCCTCTAGGCCTGCGCGGACCCCTTCAATCTGGACCTCATGTTCTCTGGAAGCCGTGTCATCCTCTGACCTTGCGCTCTCACCCGTGCGACGGAATTTCACCACACTGGAAGACAGAGATAATCGGATCAGGATGGCTAGAACTCCCCCTCGACGGCCTTGCAGCTCAGCGTTTGTGCCCAAGACAGGTGAAAGGCTTTTTTCATGGTCCAGAGAGTTGAATGAGTGGAGGCTGACACTTCTGTGAGTGGGACTGCTGGGGGGAGGGAGAGATAATTTCAAGAGTTATGTTGAGAAGCTGCCATGTACAGCTGGGCAGGTTAAGCACTGTACAACTCCAGGGAGCCCCATGCACATGGTAGGCAATGTGAATGAGGATATCTTTGTTCTAGACCTGAGTACTGTTTGGAAGCAGATGTGTTTCAGAATGCAGTTCATCTGGCTCTACATAAACCAAAAACCAAACCCATTGCTGTCGAGTTGATTCTGACTTGTGGCGACCCAGTATGTTACATAGTAGATCTGCTCCATAGGGTTTTCTTGGCTATAATCTTTACAGAAGCAGATCACCAGGTCTTTCTTCTGCAGCACTGCTGGGTACGTTTGAACCGCCAACCTTTAGATTAGCAGCTGAGAGCAAACCGTTTGCACCACCCAGGAACTCGCCTCTCTGCATGTAACAGAGGTAGTAATTTGGTCACCCAAGCATTAACTTAAGCCCACAAACATTTGCCCACACCGTTTTTTTATTTTTTTAATTTAAAGTGCACACCAAAATTTAAAAATTGAGAGAAGTAGAACCGCCCCATAGGGTTTCCAAAGAGCAGCTTGTGGATTCGAACGGCCAACCTTTTGGTTAGCAACCGATCTCTAAACCACTGCACCACCAGGGCTCCCCTCTATGAATTAAGTACTGTTATCATCCCTATTTTAAAGATGAGGAAACATGCTCAGAGAGGTTAAGACTGTTGCCCAAGATGACACAGCTTGAAGGAGCTGAAGCTCAGGCCCGGGTCTCTTTGGTACTAGACAGAGCCCTTAGCCTCAATCGCTGGGCACCAGGACCTCTCCCAAGCACTCACACGTGTCTGAGGAATGAATGAGAGGCCTGAACAGAGCTGGCCCATGTGAACAGGTTTGCAGGGCAGTGGGCAATGGTATGTTCTGGAGCAAGAATTGAAAGGCACAGCTTCTCTTTTTTTTTTTAAATTTAAAGTGGATGCCAAAATTTAAAAATTGGCTGACAGCTCTTCAGGGCAGGGGTTCTGGAACTCAGGGAGCCTCAGAACCCCTGCAGGGCTGGTCACAGCACAGAGGGCCGGGCCCCACCCCCTGGAGTGTCTCACTCAGAAGGTCTCGGCTGGGAACAAATCTGCATTTCTAACAAGTTCCCAGGAGGTGCTGATGTTGGTGATCTGGGAACCACACTTTGAGGGCCTGTAGCGCATGGAAGCAGACAAATGGTTCTCCTGTCCCCCCGGCCCTCAGCTTCCCCACGCTGCCCCCCAGCATAAAGCAGTCGTGCTGGGGCATATGGCCCGAGGAGCCCCCAGTCTGTTGGCCGAGCTGGGCGCCTGCAGCTCACTCTCCTCACCCGAGAGGCCCGGAATCCCCATGTTACAGGACTCAAAGAGACAAACGTCCCTGACGTCTGGAGCTGGGCACCGCTTGCAGCTGGAAGGCAGATGTCAGTTGGGAACACAGCCTTGGAAACTGCCTGCCTTCAGCTGGAAGTCTGGCTAAAAGGTAGACTGGGGCGGCTTCTGAGCTACGCTTTCCCAGCAAGGACTCCATTTTATTCAGGGTATGTGTTTACCTGGGCTGGTTTTGGGGGCTGCTGATGAAGATTATGGAGGTGCTTCTAAAGCCAGTAGTGTGTGCCTGTAAAACAGCCCTCAAAACACAAAAACCACAATCAAAAACATGCTGATTTGTAGCATTTGCCAATATCTGTGGGGTAAATACTCCCACATGGACAATTTCAAGCTATCAACGGTTAAATAACAGGCTCGCAAAATTCCTGAATGTTCAACATAATCAGTCAGCTCTGGACAGATGGTAGGAGCAGGCTCTGTTGTTAGCTACCGTGGAGTCACCGTAACTCATGGTGACCCCAACTACAACCGAATGAAATGCTGCCCTGTCCTGGGCCAGGCCCACGAACAGTTGTGGATTGAACCATTGTGATCCATGGGGTTTTCACTGGCTGATTTTCAGAAGTAGACTGACAGGCCATTCTTTCTAGTCCGTCTTTGTCTGGAAGCTCTGCTGAAATCTGTTCAGCGTCCTATTAACATTGTGCTGTTGTTAGGTGCCCTTGAGTCTGTTTTTGACCCACAGCGACCTTGTGTGATTGTGCACAGCTGCCCCATAGGGTTTTCTTGGCTGTAATCTTTACAGAAGCAGATCACCAGGTCTTTCTCCTGCAGAGCCACCGGGTGGGTTTGAACTGCCAACCTTTTGGTTAGCAGCTTAACCGCTGCCCCAAGAGGCCACTTGTTGTTGTCGCGTACTCTGGAGTCAATTCCAAAACTACTGTTGCACGCTACCGCATGAATGAACCTCAAAAACATTCTGCGGAGTGAAAGAAGCCAGAGCAAAAAGGCCACATATTAAATGATTCCATTTATATGAAACATCCAGAATAGGCACATCCAGAGAGACAGAAAGTAGATGGGTGGTTGCTGGGGCTGGAGGAAGAGAGGAATGGGGAGTGACTGCTCAGGGGCCCAGGGCTTCCTGTGGGGGGATGAAAATGCTTTGGATCTAGATGGAGGTGGTGGTGGTTCCAAAACATTATGAATGCACAAAATGCCGCTGAATTGTACACTTTCAAATGGTTAAAATGGTAAATTTCACGTTATGTGAATTTTGCCACAATAAAAAAAGCAATTTCTCGTCCCTTAACACTGTCACTGATGTTACTGGAATCCAGTTGTTCATTGATTAAACAAATATTTATTGGAAAACGGCCTTGTGCCAGGCCCAAAGGTGCTGCTAGGGTGACAAGGGTGAACCAAACAGGCTCAGAATCCTTCCTACAGTGCTCACAGTCCACTGGAAGGGGGAACAGGCATTAAATATATATATAGATTTTTTTTAAATGTATGACGCAAACAGTTAAGCGTTCACTAACTAACCAAAAGGTTGGTTGTTTGAGCCCACCCAGGGTGCCTCAAAAGAAAGGCCTGGCAATCTGCTTCCAGAAGGTCACACCCTTGAAAACTCTATAACTGAACAATTTGTGTAGAAATTATTGAATGGGAACCTAAACTGCCGTGTAAACCTTCACCAAAAATACAATAAAATATTATTAAAAAAAGAAAACCCTTTGAAGCACAGTTCTACTGTGCACCATATGGGGTTCCTATGAGTCGGAATTAACTCGATGGCAACTGATTTGGTTATATAACCCCTTGTCATCGAGTCCGTTCCAACTCATAGTGACCCTATAGTATATAACACCAAATATATATATATGTGTGTGTATGTGTATGTGTGTTTAGAGAGAGGGATAAAGAGAGAGGTATACAGATACAGATACATAGATTGGAGTCGCTGGGTGGTGAAATGGTTAATACACTTGGCTGCTAACTGAAAGGTTGGAGGTTTGAGTCCATCCAGAGTGCTTCAGAAGAGAGGCCTGGTGATCTACTTTCGAAAAATCAGCTATAGAAAACCCTGTGGAGCACAGTTCTACTCTGATACAGAAGGGAACGCCATGAGTTGGGGTTGGCTCAATGGCAACTGGGTTTTATAGATACAGCTGTATAGCTCTCTTGCACGTTGTGAGAAATGCAGTGAATAAAATGAACTAGTGCAGTGACAGAGGGTAGTGAGCTGAGGGAGTGGGGAAGGCTGGCCAGGAAGGTGTCATGTCAGTTCTGGAACCCGCTGAGTAAGGGGTGGTGTGAAACGGGTTCCAGGAAGAGAACCACAAATGAGGAGGGCTCCCTGTCCCCAAGAAACAACCCTCAAATCAAATACATAAACAGTTCCCCAAGGTACTCCTGGAAGATGGCAATATAATTTTGAGCCCCACTGTTAACCTAAAGGTTGGCAGTTTGAACCCACCCAGCAGCGCCATGGACAAAAGGCCTAGTGATCTATTTCTGTAAAGATTACAGCCAAGAAAACCCTATGCAAAGGGAAGGAAAAAGGCAAAGGAAGGAAATGGATATTTATGTGCATTATTGATTCATTTTCAGGGATGAAGGGAAGGTCAATGGCTTGCCCTTGACCCCGAGGATGACGTCACAGAAGGAAATGGCCATGGGGCCTGGTGCTCTTCCTTGAGTCCTGCTGAGAAGGTGGCTCACATCCTCCCTTCAAGGACCGTCCAGGGGTCCCTACTTCCTACTGTGACCAATAGCCACCGCTGCAACCTTTTTGGAAGGTAATTTGTGATATCTTTCAAAATCATAAAAGCCCCGTGCCTCCATCCAGAATTTTTCTCCTACGAATTCATCTAAGGGATAGATCTAAAGAGTCAATGGTTTATGGTACTAATAATGACATCTACAGATTACTAGCTTGCCATGTATTAGGTCCAGCGTGCAGTGCTTCGTGTGGATTATTTTATTTAATCTGCACTATAACTATCCCCAAGGACCCTGGGTGGTGCAAACAGTTCGAGCCCCTCTATTAACCTAAAGGTTGGCAGTTTGAACCCACCGAGCAGCACTGTGGAAGAAAGGCCTGGTGCTCTGCTTCTGTAAAGATCACAGCCAAGGAAACCCTATGGAGTAGTTCTACTTTGTAACCCATGAGGTCTCCATGAGTCAGAATCGACTCAAGGGCAACAGGTTGGGTTAATCACTATCCCCATTTTACCCTTGTGTAAACTGAAGCACAGAGGGGCTGAGAACTTGCCCTATGTCACACAGGAAGTAGCTTTGGCAAAAGCCATCTAACTTCAGAGTCCCCATGCCTAACCCCTCTGCTTTATTTTCTTCTAGTGCTAGCATGCTATTTGCAGCTTTGCTTGTGATAATTAAAAACTTGAAATAAACTATCATCAGGAGGGGGGTGATTAAATAGATTATGGCACATCCATTTAATGAAATGTTAAAAAAAATTGAAAAGATGTTGATCTGTAAGGGCCAG